TTTTTTTTTTTTTTTTTTTTTTGAAAACAAAACTACCTCTGCAGTAAACATAAAATGGGTTAGGGTAAAAAATTTTTCTTAACATATCCTCTTCATTTTTTTTGAGATATACTTGCCGCTTTCTCCTTTTTTTTTGTCCCTTTTTTGATGACGAAGAAAAAAGAGCTAAAACACTGAGAATGTTTTACATCAAATTCGTATGCAGTGCTTATCGTCTAACAAAAAATTTGATCTGCTAAGTTTAATATTTTCACGTGGTACAATGTTGACTACTTTATTTTTTCCAGTTACATGTAAAAAAGGGTGATGACACAGTGCTGTGAAACAGCAATAATTCGTTGATTATTTATCATACCAAGTCACAAATCCGCAGTAAATATTTGAAAAAAAAAAAAAGATTTTTAACTGCTTTATGAATTCGTACAAAACTATTGTTTTGGATACTGTAAGTCGGTACTGTTTTGTAAACATAAACAGATATGAACATTTGTATTTGTCACGATAAACATAACTTTACCAACAGAAAATGTTGTCGATTGATTATGACCAACTGTTATGATTGTCCTCTGGAACTGATGACACCCTAAATATCAGCAGACTTTAGCCAGAGCACCTATCGTTAGGAGAAACTTCAAAAATATATGTGTGAGAAAGGTTAAGAAGAGTTGCGAAGCCAACAGATGAAAATGGAGACTAAAACAATGCAAAAGCACAAAAAAAAGTACATATGAAATTATTTAAGAGATTAATGCAATCAACGGGTATTACGAGAAGTTTGTGCACTTATGTGTAACCGAATAGCCTCCTGCTGTTAAGGTCGCTATTCAAAAGTTTTCTCGAAGATTCCTTCCTCTTTGCACAGAATGAATTGTGGCAGAAGAAAAAAAAAATTGAAGAAAAAATCTTTGTAAATTTTAATTAATTCTCGAGAGACTTTAACCTTCTTAGATATTTGCTAAACAATTTGACAGTTTTCTCCCCAACTAAGTTTGAGTAAAATTTTTTATACTGAAAATGATGATCAGATAAATTCTCTTGGAGTCAGCGGAGAACAATAAAAAAAGAGGTGCTTTTTTCTTCTTCTCTTTCATCACAAACTGTTTTCTAGCCAGCAATAGACTTTTGATAATAAATTATCAGTTCAGAACAACACAGATTTTTCTTTCTTTCCTAAATGAACTATTTACTGCTTTATTCGATAGTGTTTACTGCAGTCTATACGAAATTATACGAAGATCTATTTGTTCCAGCGAAAGAATTAATGATGTGTGATAAAATGTTTGGCCGAGTTTTTGAACCTATTTACAAATAAACGCTAGTCTTTTTTGTGCCGGAGAGGTATTAGCAGAATTGTAAAGACAGACTAAAAAAGTGTTACTTTTTTTACCAGTAAAGCATTGTTCTACTGTTCTGAATTAGCTGAAAAAACCAACTCAAACGTGGAAAAGAGGTTTTACAACAACAACAACAACAACCTTTCTTCTTTGATTTGCCGATTCTGTACTGTACTTTAGTCGGTTCTAAACTTATCACTCTAGCTACTTGTTATAAATAGGGTTTTTCTGTTGAATCAATTTCTTTTTATAGATGTATTTAATTACCGTTCAGGTAAGAAGCAGTTTTTGTCATGAATCCCACTTCTAAGCACATATGCGAATAACATTACTGCACTTTTTTGGGCTTTAATACCACATTCTATTTCATCATTCTCGTTAATTACTGCAACGAAATATAAATTTACAGTACTGTTGACTTTTCTTGATGTCACTGGTATACTGTTAACTAGGCAAAAGTCTGGTAACTATATATTCCACACTATCCTGCAGTATAATTTTCGAACGGTAGTTGGACAGCAGTAAACCAATTATTTGCTGTGAGAACACTACATCGAATTTCTTTTGTACAGCCATGGTTGTATTCAAAATTAATTGATTTGGGCAAAAAACAAAAAAAAAACGGCCTGACAATCGCAAAAGTAAAGAGTTTAGTATTTTAAGCAGATTACCGCAGTATAAGGTCCCAATTTGGCTTTAGTAGCTAGTAAAATTTCGGTAATTTTGGGTCACTAAGCCATAGAGGGATGTATTTTTATAATAATAATGCACAAGGCATTAGTAGAGCATTTCCTGTCTAAAATTCGTTTGATCTTATGCATAGATACGAAACAGTGCATAATAAATATACATGTTTCGAGGGCAGAGAAAGGACGGAAAAGAAGTAAACAGTACATATAACCCAAACGGCAACAAAATGCTACAACTGTTCAAATTTATGCTGAATTTTGTGAAAAAAAAAGAACAAAAAAAAAGATAAAGAGCAGGAAGAAAATGGCGAACAAACTGTTATCGAATGTGTCCTTTTTGCACAGATTCTGACCATTTTTCCTTTCTTTTTTCTTTACACATTAGTTTACCCGAAGATTAATGTCCAACAATTTAGCATTAAGCAATACACGACTTTTTTCGGTACACTATTAGGGCTTCCTTTTTTTTTTAGTATTTGTGTATACAGATATACCGTAGACAGATTAATCCTTTATCAATCACAAAAACTAATACACATAAGACTTTAAATATTAGTGTACGTAAAAAAATAAACAGGTACTCATTTACCATTACTTAACATTTTATAGTAGTCGTATAAAATAACAGATTTTTTAATGGGATAAAACCATCTTTCCATTGTTCATCTACACTTATACTATCATCAAAACAGCTTAAAAGTCAAGTGTAGAGTAAAAGAAAACTTGCTCATCAAACTTTTTGCCCCAAACTTCATTGATACTTTGTTCTGCCTCACTTTAAACTGCCGCTACACAGTATTTTATCAAGAAATCCGTTTATCAAAAAACAAAATTGTTATCTACAAAAAAACTTTGCACTTTTGATCAGTCAAATTGTTCACTGATAAACTGATTGTGTTCAACAATTTACTTATTTGCCTACTCAACGAAAGAACAAAGAAAAAAGAGAAAAGTATAAACTTGCATATCGCCACCATCATTTTTCTGTAAAACACCATATGGCAGCCGGCATAGCGTATCTTGAAATACTTTTTTTTTCTTCTTTTATCAATAAAATGATCATTATTCAAGCAGCTTAGATTAAGCAAGCTGATAAACCGATTCCTCTGACAAGTACACAGAAAATTGCACACATTCACATCAAATATTTATGCCAAATTCAATGATTTGTCAATCCTCTAAGATGATATTTTCGAGTTAATTTCAGCAAAAAGATTACCAGCAATTTATCCAAGTTCAACAGAAAAAAAATTTTTTTTCCTTTTTATTGTTTATTCAATTCTCTTTCCTTCCATTAGAGAA